TCCTTGCTTGGATCATTACAATATCCTCTGGGTCCTCTCTCTATTACCCCAGAACACCCACCTACTCTAATACTTCCAGAGCTGTGTTTACAAAATAAAAATCAGACCAAGTCAATCCCGTGACAAAAATCCCTTGACTTTTTATGTGCTTTGGGGAATCTCCACGTCCTGCAGGGATTAAGTTCTAATTCCTTAGCAGAGCATTTACGGTCCTGCTCCAGGAGAGATAGTAATACCAGGGGGACATCCCCCAAAAGAAATGTATTTATAAAAAATTGTGTATTTATTCTTACCCATTTAAACCTCGGTCACCTTCAAAGTGCTCTCCATTTGATGCAATACACCTTTGAGACTTTTTTTCCATGGCTCAAAACAGTTTTTGAACTTGTCAACTTTGGTGCCTTTTAGTGCTTCTGTTTTTTGTTTCACGTCTTCCACTTTGACAAAACATTTCCCTTTGAGGACTTTTTTCATCTGGGAAACAAAGAAGTCATTTGGGGCGAGATTCGGTGAGTAGGGAGGATGAGGCATGAAGGCCATGCTGTTTTTGGTCAAAAACTGCTAAACACTCAGTGTGCATTGGGAGCAGGTGTGCTCGTAAATCCCCCATTATGAAATTGGCAAACACGTTGAAAAAGTCTTCAAAAGAAATTCACTTAAGCCGAACACAGCCTCTCACAACAACGCCAGCTGGTACACTAATAGTGACCACTCGCCTAGTGGGGGAAGCCTGTACTACAAGGGTCCCACTCGCCAAAAGATAATTCCAGTTTTTTTGGGGGGGGGTCCCCCTGGTAAATTGCCTTGTGTATCAGGCTGAGAAGACAGAATTTGATTCTGTAAGAAACGAGGAATATATGATAGTCTCTGCTATTGAAATAATCTCTAGAAAAGGAACTATCAAACCCTATTTACAGTATATTTCAATGTCAAAAAAATGATTAGTTTGAATATTCTTTTCCATGTTGAATCACAATTTCCCAGTGAAAATTAATCCACTTAATAGCCTGAATTCTATAACCTGACTTTCACAAAGACTTCAAACTCACCAAACTATTTCCAGAGCCCCTCTCATACATTCTTTTCTTCGGACACAACCTTTGACTTGTGTCAGAAAATGGTCCCAGTGACATTTCTGAAGCGTGTTGATGACAGTCATTTGAAACAGAATCCAAAGTGGCTTTGGTGTGCTGAAGTCAAGGTTTAACATTTCTATTCGGCCTTCCCACCTGCCTGCAGCTGTGCTTCACACAAACCCTGTCCATCGCCCCTTTTTACACCGGATTTGTTCTTCACAAAGACGTAATGCTTATTATCCGGTGCCCTGTGATCTCTGAGGTTATTGAAAATTGATTTCTTCCAGTGCCTTTCCCTGGCGCCAGCCACTGAAATCCTTGGCCGTCAATGGAAGGAGAGAATTGCAAACAAACAAACAAATAAGTATAAAAGAAGCCTTCTTTGTCTCTGACTCCTGCTAGCTGCACACCGCTTCCGAGTGCATTTGCTGTGTCAGCCCAAAGTGAAGCAGACAGAGCGGGAAGTGAGGAAGGCCATGAGGAGCTGAACCGGCAGGAACCCAATAAGGAGAGCCACCCGCCCAGCTGTGAGCGTGAAAGCGGGGGTGGTCTGCGGCCGGGGTGGAGCAGAGCTGCTTTTTGCTTTGCTCCCCTGTAACAGCATGGTCGTTTCAGAAACAAAGGGCTCCATGTGGACGGCTTAACTTGAGCTCATCAGTTCAGTGTCTGGGATTGGGGGTCCCTGTTGGATGAAACCAATGATTGGATAAAGACGGTATCATCGGAATGGGTTTTTTTTTTTCTTACTTGAATAAGACATTGAAGGATCTGCCTTCCATGCAGCATCATCTGTAACATTAGTTTATTTTTGAGTTTTTATGTTGACAATGAAAAAGACCTGAAATGTATTAGACTTTTCCTTTCCTATGTGAATCCCAGAAGCATCCTTTTGATACCCATCTAGTAAAGACAATCTCTAAAACCAAATAATAGATTGAGATGTATTATGAGTTCTTATTTCATTCAAGACAGGGCCTACCTTTAATTCTCTAGCTGAGACAGTTGTATTTCTCTTTCTGAAAGCAGTTCGCTCAAGTGTTTCAAGTAACTCAAAGGATCACTTGATTAATTCCTTATAAAATTGGATTAGACATTCTCATTTCACATGGCAGCTTTATGCTTACTCATTGTCTTGAATAACCTTAAATATTGTTGCTCTCTTCCTGCTCCATTATTTACGTAATCACTAGCCCTTGGTAGTCTGCTTCAGGTCATAGAAAATCACTTACAGATATTTTCAACATGCACGCAGAGGCCCTTTATGTCATAATCCGATTTGATGGTTTTTTTCTCCTGCATTACTTCATGTGGGAATTCTTGTTTAAACTTTATTGATCTGTCTGGTTTATTGTGCAGGGCTGTACAGTGCCACGTCACGTGGGTGGGGTGGAGAGGTGCAGTGAACAGACTTACACATTTTGAGTCTTCTTTTGCCAGTGGACACAATTAATTTCCTCCTCTTGAGCTGTCAGTTTAAAGCCATTGTTTGTTTAGAATACATTTGCTCAGGAACATTGTTTGTTTACATGATGTAAATTCGTAAAAGCTAACCATCTCCTCTATTTGTAGTTGGCAACTTCTACTTTCTGCCAGTTATTAACACTAAAGCAGTAACAGTAACAGTTTCCGTTTATTAGGTCTTCTCAAGTGCCAGATTCTGTGTAAATGCTTTATCTATATTATGTCATTAATCCCTCAATATTCCAGGGAAGTATGCACTATTATTATTCATAATCTTCAGGTGAGAAAAGAGGCGCCAAAAGAAGTTGAATAACAGAACCAGTGCGAATTAAAACATTAGGAGTCCCATTCGTGGTTTTCTGACTCTCAAACCTATCTTCTTAATCATTGTATTATATAGTCTCTGAAGATAACCTGTTCCACCTTCCAGGTGTTAAAACATTTTTTTCTTAAATGTCTTTGAAATGTCTTCCTGTAGCTTTTGCTCATTGGTCGTATTTTGAGAATTTTGGCTAGGCAAAGTGGCTTTCAGTTCTCTCTGCGGACTATTTTTCATAGGAAAAACATTCCTAATTCTTTCCGGAAGTATGTATTGGGCACTTGACCCATGGGATTATCTAGTCCCATGGAAGTGTCAGTTACTCCTCAGAACCATGTATAACGTCTATAGAGACTTTTTTAATATCTCTCCTTCCTTCTGGTATTTCAATAACACTGTCTTGGGCTATATCTGCCCCCTAATTCTTTTTCTGGTCACGTGTCTCTATCAGATCTGGACTAGGCTAGACCTATGACATCCTTTTTAAAACAAGGGCACCTTCAAGTTTCAGCCATTCCTAAGACATCTGCAGATTCTGAGGTCATCTTATGGAGTCAGGAGAACTCAGTGAATGGCCAAGGGATCCAGTTTGCTTTGGTAAACCAGGTCCCCTCGTTGCTGAGTGGAGCCAATATCTTACACCTACCCAGATATACCTGAACTTCCCAACTAGGATTAAATTAACATCAAGCTGGAATTTCAGTCCTTGGCCCTGAAGACTACCTGAATGCAACTCATAATACAAAACATAATAAATAAAAGTAACCCACCTTTAGCGTTCTATGAGAGATCTTTCTGTTTCTAGTGTCCTTTTGATTTTGAAGATTTCTAAGGCTGGTAAAATTTTATTTTTACAGATGCCTCATGGTCATTTAAGATTTCTTAATCTGGTCCCCTGTCAGCTCTTGGATGTATGACTCAGTCCCAGCTGCAGAAGTCACTGCCACCGGATGGTGGACCCTATTATTTTCTGGGCTTAGTGACCCCTAGGATTGTTAGGTTGAAGAAACAGCTTCTGGTGGATGTTATTGGTTCACAGGACTTTCTCTATACAGTCTCTTATGCTCACATTTTCCCAAAGTGAAACACCCACTTTAATCCCTTCTTCCTTTCCCTCCCTGGTGACTTCTTAGGGCATTTGGAAAGCAATATGAAGGTCCCAGATCTCAAGTTCCCTCTTTCTTCTCCTTTGGGCTACACGTATCCTTGTCCATTTAACTGAGGAAGCAAAGAAAAAGGAAAAGCAGAATTTCCTTTCAGCCAGAATAAGTAAAAGAAGAAAGATTCCAGATACATGAAACATGCATTGCAGAAAAATAATGACCCCACCTGTTATAGTGAAAAACCCAAACCTCCTTACCTCTCCAAATTATAAGCCTCTCTTCCAGCTAGCCAGAGCCCTCAGGTCTGGGAGGGAGGGAAATCAGGGGGTATTTCTTAGTTTTTCAGCACCATTTTTACTTTATATTCCACACATGTCTCGCGATGTAGGGAGCTGGAGGGACGCAGGGAGAGCGTCGCGGAGGACTGGACCCGAGGAAGGGCTCTACGCCTTACTCCCCCAAGCAGAGGCCAGGTGGGGGATGACAAAGAAAAGCTAGGTTCGAGGATACATGAGCAGAGGAGACTCAGCTCTCTCTTCCTAGTTAGAGCCCAGGAAAGAGCTTTTTTTCAGAATTCCTTCATGGCGCACAGGGCTACCAAGAATTGGTGCAGGTATTGGTGAAAACTCCCATGGGGTTGCCTTGAGCAAAAGTGGGTTTGTGTTGACGTGCAAAGTAGTCGGACCCTGGGCTCCCTTGTGGACCACTAGTACTTCATTTGCATTGGCTGCCTCCACCACCACCCCCGGCCCTGCCCCGCACCCTGACTGATACAGGAGAGCTGAAGTAGGACAGAAAGAACCCAATAAAGGCCATGATGACAGGAGCTAAGGGGAATGTTCGTGAGCGCACGTGAGATACCTCATGGGGGCCACCAGATGTACCTGAGCCGTGACTCTGAGGCTGTGGGGTGTGGGTGTGCTTGCGGGTCCTCCCTGAGTCCATGGGGCAGGAGCCAGTGAAATTTGTTGGTTACACCTACTGTGATCCGCCTGTTGGTGATACTGGGGGAAACTCAGCCACCTCGATGGAAATGACCAAACCTACTGCTAGTCTGCGGTTGTTCTTATGGCGGCAGCGGTGACATTCCTTGGTGAGGAAGAAACTGATACATGATTAAACAGCTCTTTCTTAGTCAAACAGAAAGCGGGCGTATGTGTGACAAACACAAGAAAAAAAAAGAAATTACCAAACCCCGTGTGTTTAGTCTGAAATGGCATGAAGAATAAGACTTTTTATGGTTCTTTGTAATACAGGCAAAATAACATTTTGTGCTTCATGGTAATATCTAGCATGCACAGCATTTAAACGTTCTATGTCATCTCATTTATTCCTCACTGATCAACTAGGTAACCATCCCATTGTATTGGAGAGAAACCGATGTCCAAAAAAAACAGAGTTGCTTAACTTAATAATTATATAAAATAACAACAATTAATTAAGTCCCAGATACTACACTAAGAAAGTTAGGTGCACACTTTTCTTTAATTCTTAAAATTACTTTGTGCAATGAATATTATTATTTTCATGTTTTTGATAAATAAATTAAGGCTCAAAAAAGTTAATTGACTTGCTCAGGGCCATACAAGTTCAAATAGCTAATTTCTTACTTCTTCAAACTGATTTCTTACAGTCTTTAAATCCATATCTCCCTGACCTCAAAAGTTCACGCTTCCAGCCACTTACTATTGTAGGGGAGGCAGAAGTAGAGGCCAGATTTTGTGATTAACTGTAAAATAACCTTTCTATCTGTTTTACCCACAAGAGAGTTTTTCATTGCATGTAAGGTAGATACCTTCTTCAAATAACTTTTTGGTGTGTGAGCTTTTCATTAACATGCATCAAATGGAGGCATATAATTTTCAGATGGATTCATTTCTCTTTTCGAGTGCTTTCATTAATTTGAATATCAAAGCATTTGCTTGTTTATACACACTGAAGAATGAGCTCCCTAAAAAGAGACAAAAGCAACTCTCAGAAAAGGTTTTGGCATGTTTTTATGAGCAAAAAATAGTTTGTGTGAATCATTCAGGGTTTGTGTGTATTACACACAATAAACCAAATGAGTATAACAAGTTAAATTTATGAATTACAGATTCGGTATCTCATCAGCCACCTGTCAGCAAAAGACTTTTGAATTCTGTGTATATAAAATGCTTTCTATAATCCCATGGAATATGCAATATGGCTATGAAGTAATGGCACTTAAAAGATGTAAGAATTTAGACAATCCTTATTACAAATTTACTTTGAAATTCATTTAAAATAGTACATTAAGTATAAGCTCTTCATTCTTGGAAAGACTTTATCATCATGTGTGTTTTCCTATCTAAAGTAGTCATTTTAGAGTTTGTTTATTTCAATAACGCTGCCATTTCTTAAGACAGGTTCAAAACTTGCCTGAGTAAATTTCCCCCAGAGCCACTTTATAAGGAGTAAGATAATGATTCTCATTAATTTATAAACATCCTCCTTTCTTCAACAAAAAAGTGGTGATTCTCTGTCCTATATCTAATCTCGCTTACTTACCAAACCACGTTCTGAACTGCCTTTGACTACAACCCCAAACCAATCCAAGTCTCTCATTGGCACCACTGAGGAGATCTAAGGGACTGTGGAGGAAGCCCCTAAAATCCTGGGAATGATTCAGTAACTCCCCACGGAGGATAATGCCCTGAGGGGGCCCATGTACCTTCCAGTGGACAGGTTCCGGTCTGCCCTTAAAAAAACAGCACTGCTTCATAGCCTCGTGTGGAAAGCTCAGTGATCTCATTTTGCCGTTCTAGTATCTTGATTTTTCAGTGAATCCAGAAATAAATTTCTAGCCAGTGTGAGGCATTCTTTTGAACTCTTCATCCTATTAACTTTTATTTATGATTTCTTTTTTTTTAAAATAACATGTTAATGAAGATATAACTGGCAAGACACTTTGTAATCTGTTTGAAGGAGGCTTTCCGTAATTGAAGATTTTGGCTGCAGGATATACTTCTGACACCTGATTAAAAAACAGCTCAGCCAGACATCTTGATTATGGGGTGCAAGTCGCATATTAAACAGCTGACATGTATTATTTGGGATTAGTTCCTCTCTGGGATTTGCAGTAATTCACACAGACTGGTATGAAGTTTCTCTTTGCATTCTCTCAAGTTTCCTTAAAAAAAAAAAAAAAAAAAAAAAAAAAAAAAGAGGAGTAGGAGTGTGTGTCGGGGTTTGCAGGAGACCTAATAACTTACATAAAGGTAAAGGAGTGGTTTGTTTATTGAGTTTTAGAAAGAGGCATTATCCTAAATAAGAATAATAAAAGTAGATGAATTTAAACTTCCCAGAATCCCTCTCCTACCTTCTGGAGCCCCTGACATTCCTAGTACCTAGTTCCCACAGTGCGTTTTCCTCATCTAATCTTCACAGCCACAATGGAAGCAACTGACCCAGAAGCATTTGCAAACAGGTTAATTTAAAAGCATTAGATTTCTATGAGTGGTATTTTGGGCACTGGTGATAGGTAGCAATTGGGGACAGAATGCCTTCCCAGGAAATTATCGTAGGTGGGAATCAGGCCCTTTCATGGGATTGCGAGGAAAGCATTCCAAGAACCTACGCACAGGAGATTGCGTCATGGCATAGTTTATTCGTGTGGAAATAGGCTGCAATGTCCCATCTCCCTCTGTCTCATCCTGGAAAAAATCCAACGGTATCCTCAGCAAGGCCAAGAAAAGAGCCAGGGTCCAGAGTTTCTGCTTCATATTAAAGCTTTGTCCTTTGGAGCCTGCAGTTGGCTGCTAAGGGGTCTCAATCGCCATCCAGGTAGCTTAGCTTGTTCCTGGCTGCTCCTGTGGTAAAGTCCATGTAGCAGTGGGCCACGTGGCTGCTGAGGCCACGTGACTATGGAGAGCGCACACAGGAGTGCATGGGGAGAGTGCAGGTTCCCGAGTGAAGGGGTAGCTTCTTTGGTACTTTAGGATTATATTAGTTTAGGCCTGGAATGGACAAGATACTTTTTTCAAAATGACCACTCAATTTCCCAGGCTTCCACAGGCTTTGGATGGGTCTACACCCCCTAGTTAGAATGACAGGCCTCTAGGGTCCAGCATCTCCTCCTGCGCCCCCAACAGTCTGGTCCCGGAGCAGGGAAGGGAGGAGCGTTAAGCCCCTTGGCGGAGCGAAGCTGAGGTCCCTCGGAGTGTGAAAAGCTGTAGCTTCCTGGCCAAGCAAGCAGGCTTATGCTTCTCAGTTTACTAAGTTCAATGTCTAGTTCCTTTCGCTCCTCTTTTCTAGCTAAGTACCGATAGTTACAAAACCATAAAGCTGATGACTATAAACTCCCTGGGGCTATAGAAAATGGAGGCTAAATTTACACAAAACCGAATCATTAAATGTGGCACCTTTACTTGGAAATAAGAATTTCTCCCCACCGATCCCCTTTTATCCCATTCCCCAAATTCTCTGCACCTCTTTTCAGTTACCAATAAATATTTCCTTTCCAGCTGTTCCCCCAAATACTTAACACCTTTTTGTTTGAGAAATACTGACACATTCCCCTGGCCCTGTGTTAAAATCGCAACCCTGGCCTCTCCCAGCCGCGGCTCCCAGACTCTCTGTTCTCCTGTACCCCGCATTCCCCCTGGATTCCCGCTCCTACCTCAGACCATTGCTCAATCATTATCTTTTACCAGCTTAGCTTTGTTTGACATCCTTAGTCTCCTCTGGATGACATCCCGCCTTTAATACTATTATTAAGGTAATATCTGATGGCTGGACTTACAGCTCCTCCCCTATTCTTAGGCTATTTGACCTTTCTGCAATGTGGAGCAGTTAGTCTCTCCTTCTAATTCTTTTTTCTTCAAATTCTCATATCGCCCCACCTGTCTTTCTCAGTTTTCTCAATGCCTCTCCTTTCCCCAGCCTTTAACAACTATTGCTACCCCGTGCTTTACACTTCTCCCTCTACAGATGTTTCCATCAATGATCTAATCAACACATCAATTCCCCAATATCCCTTGAATAAGACTTTTTATTTCCACTTCCATTGCCCTCACTCTAGCCCCTGCCCCAATGGAATAAACTTCTAAAACCACGTCTTCTTCTCTTTGTCTCTCCGCAGTTTCAATGATATCTTCAGAGTCATCTTTCTGAAACAGATCCAATCTATGCTTTACATTCTTCAGAAGTTGTTAATGAATCCTGTTACCTCCTAAAATGTTCAAGCTGCTTCAGGCTTGGGAGGGAAAAAGGAGGTGAGGCCAGGAGGGAGGGGAGTAGTGCAAAAAGCCAAGAAGGGAGCTGAACGGCATATCTGTCCGCTTGGCTGCATGGGTTATCCTCACAACAGCGTGTGTGTAGATACGGCACCTTGCAGTGGGCCACGGACATGAGGGAGGAGATGAAATTCACCTTCCTGGACCCCTCTCATCTTCTGGTTCTCGACTGTGGAAAGTCTGATGGCACTCAACTCCCTCTTGCTGTGACAGTCAGCTCTTTCAATAGCCACTCAGGAGCAAGGTCCTGTGCCTGTGGTGTGGCCTCTCACCACCCAGCAAGTGGTAGGAGGGGTCACAGAGCTGCTGGGCCAGGCTGCGTTGGCAGCCAGAGTGGAGTCCTGTGATCCTGAGCAAGTACCTGCTTGGCTCCGGGAGGTAGAATCACAGGTGCATGTGAAGTCTCTTGGTTGCTACCTGGGCAGCAAATGAGGCCAAGAGATATAAGGAGGCAGATAAGACATGTCCAATATAACGCTCAACCTCACTTCTTATCAGGGAGAAATTGAGGAGATTCCATTTTTCATCTCTCAGATGGGTAGGGGCCTAACTGATAGTATCTGGGATTGGCAAGATTTTGTGGAAAACTGGCACTCTCACAGAGAGTGGCTGCGCACCTGCCCTGAATAGTAAGAAATGTACTCATACAGTGGAATGCCAAGAGCTTTAAAGGGCTCTCTCTCTCTCTCTCTGTCTCCCTCCCTCCTTCTCTGTCTCTCTCTGTATAAGCATATATATAAAAAAGCCAGTTGCAGAAGAATACATACACTACAATATCATTTGAATACAAATAAAATGCAAGGAAATGGCCATGGGTTCCAATTCTGGTCCCTGCCGTTAAATAAGTGTGAGCTCTATGGAGAAGGAGATTATGGACAGATGCTGAAAGCTGCTTAGATGGCGAGAAAGCAGAGGG